CTTAGCTACTCATGTTCGCTACGAAAAACATAATAAAAATACGAAAAATCATAAAAGCTATAAATAAAAATCAAAGAGGAGAACTAGGATGAAGATTCGTCAAGTCTTCGTCTTCGTTCTTGTGCTCCTTGATCGCGTGTAGAAAGATGAAGAATAAAAACTAAGATAAACGATAAAAGGTTAAAAGATGACTCCTTTAATTGTGTGCTTTTGGCCTTTAAATAGGGTGCAAAAATATAATAGGGCGGGTTTCCTTGTGTAATTAAGATTCCTTCACTGCGCCAACTCGACCATCCGGACGGCCGTGCGAGAATAGGCTTTAAAATCCGGACGGCCGTCCGGTCTTCAATTCTTCAGAATTCTGGTTTTTTCACTTTTGGCCCATTTTTTCTCCGAATTTGCAGTTTTCACCCCAAAAGTTGCCAATTCTTCAATTTGCACCTAAAATACAAATAATAACCATTTTAAGCACCAATTATCGTTAAAACACACCAAAAGTTCCAATTAAAAGGTACAATTAAGTATATAAATATACACTTAACACACCCCCAAACTTGAACTTTTGCTTGTCCTCAAGTAAAATCAAATTAAGAACATAAAACACGACTATACATCTCATTACATAGATCGATTGGTCAACTTCGTGTTTTCAGAACTTGCAATTATGATGATAATTCCTAGGCATTCGCAAGCTTAACATTCAACGGCACTTAGTCACTCACTATTACCAAAAACCACAAATCATACAATTGCTTCAAGTATCCAATATTTGCAAGTTAAAAATAGAAAGAATTTATACTTACATGCATATATTTGACTCCAAATACTCACCAAATTATTTTACTCAACTAATATTGAACAATAAGCTATTGGGATCATTGGGACTTTGTGGCTTTCAATTGTTAGGCTCTTTGGTCCGAGGTAGGTAATATGGGTATGTGTGGCTAATTTTCTAGAATAGAGGTGATTACGCCAAAATTTTAAAGATAGGCGTTTGAAACAATGAATTCACCTCTAGGGACTTTAATAAACTCGATTCTCCAAAATTCACACGTCAACACTTTTGCCTTGAGGCAATGGATCGAGTTTTCAACACAATTCAACCACTAGTCCTTATTTCTCCCTTCTAATTTATTCTTCTTCTTCTTTTTCTTTTCTCTTTTTTTTTTTCGAATCGAATTTAGATATATATATATATATATATAAAGATGCACGTATATATATATATATATTCTTTTTTCTTCCTTTTTTTTCTTTTT